AAAATTTTATTAAAAAATTTTAAAATTTAAAAAAGTTTGCAGGCAAATTTGGCTGCAAAACAATTTAAGGGATAGTTAAGCCTATCCTTAGTAGTAATTATTAATAATAAATCAATTCTTTTTAATATAAAAAGTAAATATATAATTTTTTTATAAACATCTAAAAAAACCTTACTTAAATAGTAAATATACGGTAGTTAGAAATTTTTTTACTGTATTAAGGTTGTATAGTTTAATTTTATTTTATTATAAAAATTTAAAAGTTTTGTTATGCTTCGGACTCTTAACAGATTCTGTTTCCTATTATATAGTAAAAAAATACTCATGTAACATATATATCGTCTGACTGTTAATAAATAATTATTTAGATTAGTTTTCTAGATCTGATACTTATTAACTATACATATGTACTAAAAAAAATTCTCGTCAAATATTTAGCTTATAACATTCGAGTTTTATTTGTTTGAGACTAGTGTTGTAGGTTAAACTATAACATTCGGCCGGACGAAACTCAAGTGAAACACTGCAAATGTTGTTTATGCGAACGAATGTTATATATAATGTGCTAACCACATAACAACCAAACGTCAATTTTTTTAGTTTAATAATAATAGGTCAAAGAGGTCAAATAAATTTTGCTATTTGATTTATATGTATAGCGCAAGAAGCAAAGTGTCGTTAAATACAACTTGTGAGTCGTTAAATTAATAATAATAATAAAAAGCATCGGTATTTATTAGATAACGATAACGTCAGAAACAATCACGTGGCTGGTTTTGTGATTTTGTATAATTTATAAATTCTCCGTCCGGGTCAAGTCCAATCGAAATAGCAACAATGCCAGTATCCCCTGAAACAATCCGAGAGGAACGTGCCGTGTCGGGCAAGCTAAAGCTCCTTCGTGCTGCCAATGTTCTATCGTTCTTGTTTGCTTTTGTCGCCAATGTTATTGCTCTTACCTTTGATCCTTCTTCTACTGATATCCACAAAAAACATTTGACATACTTTTCTCCTTCTTTGATCTTTGTTGGAATTTTTTGGTTATTGCTTAGTGTTTTATTTTTTATTTTTGTATTTTGGGTACAGTTTAGCAATTATTCTAGTATGAAGCGGCTTGTGACTCAAGGAATAGGTGGCTTATTTATTTTAAGCAATATACTAGTGATCGGATGGTTGGTGTTCTGGGTACGCTTTATAAACGTTCTTTTAATATCTTTCAAATATGACATAAGATTTAATTAACGAAATGTATTTTTGATATTAGATGCTAGAAAAGTTCGTTATTAGCGAGTTTTTCATAATTCTCAACCTATTGGTTATATCCACGATCCATCATAATCTCGTTGTCCAATTTCCACCTTTTTCGTTTCCTTCTTCGCAAGTCTCCAAAGTTGCTTATTTCGTTCACACACCATTCTCTATGTATTTAGGGATTACATGGTTAGACGTTTTTCATAATGGATTTATGGCGCTTACTATTGAAAAAGAAACGGAAAAAGTATTAGCTATTATATCTGCTTGGTTCCTTGCAATCATTGGTTTCACTTGGTGTATTACTGGCATTTTTAGTGGTGGAAGAAGAGATGGAGTCTTCAGCGCAACCATTGCCTGGTATGTATCCAGAAAAAATCCTTTTTTATTATTATATAACCGCAGAACATCAAGCTAACTGTTAACAGGTGTTTAATTTCTATTGCCGTTCGACAACGTGATGAGAAATATTTATCGGTCCAGTGTGCAATTCTCGCTATTGCACAGCTTATAGCTATT